ATCCATGGCTGCGTCAGTGAGTTAATAGAATTTAAATCAACAAAGCAGCCACGTAACCTGGCAGCTTCTGGAATAAATTCATGGTGGTGCAGTTGCCAAAACATTCTCCCCCAATATTACAATCTCAACAGGCCTGTCAGTTGAGGTTAATAAATTGACCTACATAAGATTAACTTTAAAACAAAGAACCACATTTCTGAGAGAAATAATTTTGCTGCAATAATCCTCCCACGATGATGCAAGCAGGCCGGATTAAGGTTCTTGTAGGCCCTAGGCACTCGTTTCTATAGTCGGGACTGCCGCCCCCCTACCCCCACCAATGTTACTACTGGCGCTGTCACTCGCTTGTTTCACGCGTAGCACAAAAACGCCTCGTCCTCCCCCTTGCACTGCTACTCTCTATCGAGAATGACATTGTACGAAAAGCACAATTTGACGATGTTATTTGCTAATTTTGCAATGAAAAAAATCGCTAAAAGTTCATCTCCAGTGTGAATTTCTCACACCTTATTAAAAAAACCGATTGACATGACTGTCGCTGTATATACAGTATGCATATCCTTGCTATATAAAAATATTTATTCAAGATATCTTTGCTATTTTGAAGCTTTCGTGACTGCAGGAATCCATACTTTTTGGTTCTTTCGGTAAAGTCACGTAGGGTAGAAAAAATAATTATTTTAAATTATTTATCCTACAATCAAAAAAAGACATGGTCACATTTTTTTCGGAGGCCCTTGAGTTTTTGTATAAATAAAGACCTTCATCTGTATGTCTCACAAACCTCTCGGGTACTTCCGAACGAGGTACAAAACTGAAATTTGGTACATATGTAGCTTTTAGGATGCAAACTGGAAGAAAATCAGAAAATCCGAGATTTTTTATTTTAAGGCCCCAAAATCTCGATTTTAAGTGCTCCATAAACATGCTTGTGCATGTCATTCAGAAACCGTTCAAAGTATATGATTGCGTTTTTTTTCGTTTGATAGAGCATTAAACAGCAAAATTAAATTAAAGTGAGAACCATTGTTCTCTTTTATTGTTCTTGAGATATTTCGGATTCAAGCAGTTTTGAACGCTAAAATACGTATTTTATGTTCATATCGGAAAAATTTGAATACGGTTAAAGATAAGAGCTCCCCATCACAGAGAATCAAGTTAATTAATTTGTTATAATACAAAAATTGTATCTTTAAATTTAGCGGTTTCTGATGGGTACATCATTAAATATAAGTTGAATAAAGTCGTCAATCGTTTTTTTGGCAAAAAAATATAAAAAATTGTAGTTGTTAGCAGAGGTGGGACAAAGTCATTGTTATGCAAGTCCAAGTCGAGTCTGAAGTCATCAAATTCATGACTCGAGTCTGACTCGAGTCCAAGTCACATGACTCGAGTCCACACCTCAGAGGTGGGACAAAGTCATTGTTATGCAAGTCCAAGTCGAGTCTGAAGTCATCAAATTCATGACTCGAGTCTGACTCGAGTCCAAGTCACATGACTCGAGTCCACACCTCAGAGGTGGGACAAAGTCATTGTTATGCAAGTCCAAGTCGAGTCTGAAGTCATCAAATTCATGACTCGAGTCTGACTCGAGTCCAAGTCACATGACTCGAGTCCACACCTCAGGTTGTTAGTGTCTGATCGTAGATAAAAATGGTAAAAAATCATATCAGGCAAATTATATATTTAAACGTGTGCCTGGCGAAGACAGGCTTTTATTATGAATTAGTTGAATTCGATCTAGATCCAAGCATTTTCTCGAATTTCCCTGGACACATTCTGAAGGCGGATGTCACTCGAGTTGAATTTGCATTTTACTTTGCATTGAAATTTCACTGTTTCCTCATTGCACCCTCAAAGGTACCAGGTAGGTGCACCACCCACCATCCCAGACTGCACTTTAGACCCTAACAGCCACATGTCAATAATGTGGGCAGACAGACAAGTGACATCACGAGGCCTTTGTGTAATAGCCTACAAAGATAAATAGCTGATAAAGCTTCAGAACTCTGTTTTAGAGGCACAGACAAACAAGGGGGGGGGGGGGGGTGGTTAGCTTCACATTAGCACGCCAAACAGCCCTCAGAGCTTTGTCTGCACGTTCCTTCATAAAGAGCCCGAGACCAACTCGGACCAGCAGACTTGCAAAGTTTCAGAGAACCTGTTAATATCTCAGATCTGTGGCCTAGATAAAAAAAATATCGAGCTTTGAGTTTACTTATCCGCCACTGGGTAGTAATTTCCACGGTGTTATTTTTATTTCTACGCATTACCTCACCATCACATTACAAATGGGCGCACACAAACAGTATCACTGAAAGTTCCCAATCGTAGTCACAGCCATTCCTGTGCAGGTGCATGAACACACAACCACAAAAAGTGTCTGTATCCATACATACATGAGTGCATACATCCACCCTTCCACACATACAAATGCATGCACACACACACACAAAGATCGCCGTATAGCCTTAACAGACTGTTGGGGCACGTAAACTAAACTAACTTTTTCAGAAGCAACCTGGCCACATGATAGCTCAACAAAGTGGCTTATCATGTGGACATGTACAGCAGCCACATACTCTAAACGCATGTTTCTAAATGCGGAGGGAAAAACCGGAGGACCCGGAAAAAAACACATGACCATGGGGAGAACATGCAACCTCCAAATATAAAGGCGTCAGTGTCAGGATCGAACTTACTCCTGCATATCAGGCGAGGCAATAACATCTCGCCACCATGGCACGATGTTCACTGCTTGTTAGCAAACACCAATGAAGGCTGGTACGGTACACGAGGGGGTGGGTGGTCCGCACCACGCCCAGTCGCCTTTGTCTCCCCAGTGGTGTTATTTATACACTGTACCAGGTACTCATTTGAGGCTTAGTCGACCTAGTGGAGGCCCAAGACCAGTTCAGTTAATCGTCACCGGTGTTGGCTGTGAGCGAATGAATATGCGCAATTACACTCTACAACATACCCCTGTTATACTGCCACACGCAAGTGCATTTAACAGCATGCACGCAGGCCACGTACATTCAAGTGCAGTTTCACAAGCATACGCAACGATTCGCACATGACCATGCCACTTCAGTTTGCCACGACACAAACCTCGCACTGGCGCATGCACACGCACATTTTTATTCATGTTCATTGCTGTTTTAATGTATTTTCATTCATCCAAACTTACTCACTAAACTCTTCAACTTTGCTGTGAAGCGTGTTGATACGTTTCTGTTTGGATGCAATTAAAATTAAGATTGTGACCATGACACACGCTCATACATTATTCCACATACTATGCGCACCGCACACACACCAGTGTATTTTCAAACGCAATCTTATTCATACATGCATCCATTGCCATACCCAAGTGCATATATTTGCAGACAACATCCATCATGCATACACATATGTACACTCATTATATTCATTCAATTGTGCATGCCCATTCACATACCGCTCTTCACTCATGATTGCATGCACAAACATACAAAAGCCCAAACACACACACACACCAATAGGCGCACGTAATATTGTATCTGCAAAATATTGCAAAACACAAACGTATTCACACATACACGAAACAAAAGTTTAAAATATACTAACTCTACATAAAATGGTATACAAATAAATAGACTTAATAACATGATCTACAAATAACCCTCAATTCACGATGGCTATCGGCGGCATATAACCCTGTTATATGCATCGCTGATCTGAGCAAACCGAAAGCATTCACGAAAACATATCTTAACGTAATCACGTGACCTACAGCAAATATTTTTCCAAAACAGTCACAGTTATTTAGACATTGTCACACTAAACAACACGCACGCACATATTTTAGAAGCAAACGTAAATGGTTTAAGAGATTAGATAAAAGTTGCACTTTAAATAAACATGAGGCGAAAACTCGCTCTGGGTATTGAGGACAAGGAAACACTTGTGTGGGATAAGATGTACTATTGAAATATATTAGAAATAAAAGGACACTTTAGCCCAAAAATAAATTGACACAGGAGTCAGGAAATTCAGACAACCACAAGTGAATAAAAGTCAGGGCCACACAGCCAGACGTTAATATACACATTTTAATGTTGTTGCAACTCCAACATGCAACAAACATTTCTTTGCAATATGATTGCTTGATATATATAAAAAAAAGTATTTTCAATACCCACCACGTATGATTGTTTAAAAATAATAATATAAATATATATCGCTAAACCCAATCACCGACAACATACCATATTTTCTCTTATTTGGTAAACATTACAGTTTCTTTACAAGGGTATAATATTTTGTTCGGACGACTTGAATAATATTCACACAATTTGATATAATTTCACCGTTTTTCACGCTAACCGTATGAATTCAAAACGTGAGGATTCCTATTTTTTGGCACGGCAGACCAGGTTTTCTTGCAGACTCAGCGGCAACAAAAAAAACGCAGCGCCTGCTGTCTCCGCCGCAGTGCAAGAAAACGCTGGAAGGGAATATGTTGAAGATACTCACACGAGTGAATCTGAAAGTACGTAGCCAAACGGCACGGTCGTACATTATCTCTTTTGGCCCACGGCTTAACGCGGCTGTGGGTGACTGGGTTTTTTTTATAATACCTGCGTTTACAATAGGGGAGGGAAAATTGGTTAAAATTGCAATGTAAAAAAAAACATTGCCAGTATCGGCAACCTGCATTCGACGAACGTAAAATAACTGTCAGTTTTTTTTAGTTTTGCAATGTGTAAACAAACCAAAAACTTGACGAAATTGTCATTTTCGCTACAACACTGCGTGTTGCAACAGCAAGGCAGCACGATGCAAATAAAGCGTCCGGAAACGCATAATTACAAAGCCAATGTACAAATAATAATTTAAATATATGGCGTTTTTTGTTAAAAGCAATGTTATATGCATTGTGCATTTATAGCTTTACCCTCAAGTGATAACACTGGTAAAGAAATTAAAAATAAAAATAAATGTAAAAAGATAGTAACCTCTGCCTCTATGTAGGTCTTCCAGTATCGACCAGAATTGGTGAATTGGTTAACGAGCCGCTCCAGGATGCGCCGGGCCTTGTCGGGAACTTGATTCTGTGGGATTGGGTCAGAAGCAGACGGGGAAAGGGCAGAAACACAGACGCACGCACACGCTCGTAAAGAGGCAGCAACAAAGACCAACACTCGCCCCACAGCTCCACACAACGCTGAGCAGACTGTCGCGGCTATACCAAGCCGAATTGCGTTGCGGTCGCAATGATAGAACCGAAGCATTCAAAACGAATAGAACAACATTTCTAAAAGTGTACGTATGCAACGTGCGTTGCCAACCGTGATAATCGGAGGTGAGGGGGGGGGGGAAGGACAAACTAAATAGAAAAAAAAGTTCTAAAGAAATTAGTCCATGTAATAAGCTCATATCATACGCAGTGCATACTCTTGCAATGTATCAACTTCTGCTCAGTAAGTTGCAGACATGGGAAGTGTCAATATATATGGACCCACAAATAAAATTGGATGAAATTGTTACAGATAAAATTATGATTGCGCATAAGCGTGATGGCGGGAATCCCAGAGTAAAAAAAAACAGTCACCACTTATGAAAAATAGAGGTATCATAAGGTAGCCCATGATATAGCCTGTGCTCACTCCGAGCTATAAATGCTCTGATACGTGCAGTGTCTTTGTACTGTTTGCCTTTTAGCGTTGTTCTCTGGTCCGACAATGGTGAGACTAGGCCATAACGAAGCCTGTCTCTGGTGTAGGCCAATGAATTTCAAAGACAATGCCATATACAGTAAAACCTTGGATTGTGAGTAACTTGGTCTGCGAGTGTTTTTCAAGACGAGCACATTTTTAAAATAAATATTCATTTGATAGACGAGCGAGGTCTTGCAATACGAGTAGTACGTGTATACGCTTTGTCTGCCGAGCGTCACGTGATCACAACTGATATAGGAGTGCTTTGATATACGAGTGCTTTGGATTACAAGCATGTTTGCTTGCATGTTCACCACAAGTGCGTGTGGTTAATGCTGACTTGATTCCTTGCAAAAGATTTCCGTTTGGTGTTTCAACATCTAAACACCTCCTGTTTTATATTGCCAGAAAGGGCAAAAACTATTCTTATTTTTCAATCAATAGAGGTGATCCACTTATCCATTCCACTACAGAATAATGTAAAACACATAAATTGTGACAATTGTCATTTCGTCAAAAATGAAGTGTATCGTGAGAATATATATTTTGGAAATCCATGTTGTTGGCCATTATCTCTAATCCTTCAAATAAAAGTCAAATGTATATAATAAAAACTCAACATTTTTTTGATGGAACCAATTGAATGATTGAGAGAATTTCAGTATTTTGAAGAAAATACCTTTATAATAAACTGGAAATCAATTCTAAATTTATATACAGCAGATGCTGAGGAGTGACTGAAATTTTCAATGTCACAATCACCTTGGTACACTTCCTCGGTGTATTTTATCGAAACCAACCGAACATCGATGTCCGACAACTCCTCCTATCCGCAATAAAGCGGTGAGTCGTAAGAGTGTGTGGTTAAAATAAGCTTTTGTTCTCAGATTACTTAGAATTAAAAATTATCAGCGTGCTGTGTAACTGAAGCGATAACATAAATACACACAAAGTGCGTGAAATAGTGCGGTCTCCATGACTATTCGATGACTTCGCAATTTCAGGGTCATGATTCGATTGAAGAAGCATTTCAACGAAAGGTTAGTGTCTCTAACGGCTGCAGGGATTATGTTTAATGATGACACAAGAAAAGCTATTTTTACATTTGCAATTTTTTGCGGAATGCATTACGAACTTTAAGAATCAATATAAATAAATTTGTCAGTGAATCATTCTAGCCCTTATAGTGATATTAACAAACAAAAAGCATATCTTTGTTTACAATGGATGAGGTTGATTGAGTGGCTCCATAGAAACCAACCGATAAAAAAAAATTAAACTATTAAACTATTTTATAATTTTACCAGGGAAGACCCACTGAGCTACATAGCTCTTTTTCAAAGCAAGTGGTTTAATCATGTGGAAATGCATAGCAGCTAAATACTCTAAACGCACGTTTCTCAATGTGGAGGGAAAAACCGGAGGACCCGGAGAAAAATCCACACAACTACGGGGAAAACATGCTAAACTCAAAATATACAGCAGGCGTCAGGGTCGGGATCGAACCCACGACCTCCTGTATACCAGGCGAGGTAGTTAACATCTCCTAGCCACCGTGGCACCCTAGACCACCATGACTGCCTCGATATCGCAAGGAAAAGTGGTTCTCCTTTGTGGCCTGCAATTATACCAGGAAACGTTCCCTTGACATGCAGTCCCTGTTCAACGTTATCCTTCATCATTCTTATTTTAGCCAGGCACCAAAGCTAAAGATTTTGGGTAAGCCTCACATTTTATTGGGTTATATTTAATTTTGTTTATTAATCACAACTTAAGTCGCCGCCCCGCAACCCCGATCCAATTCTACATACCCCTCGCGGGAGAGCAGGTAAAACTCATGAGTGCAAACTGAGCTCTTAATTCTGTCAAGATACACAACTCATCTGTATTCCCCAGGGCTGTCCAACACAACGTTTGAAGCTACGTTGTGAAATAACACCTCTTTAGTTGTTTTAGGCTTCAACTTCCTTAAGGTATTTAATCAAAAGCTAAAAAACACTCTCCGTTTCTTTTCTTTTTTTTACGAGGCGTATACTCCTGCAAAGTCGATAAAAGCCCATTGCATCGCACGCGGAGCCACACAAGTTTCAATGAGAGGACAGCATCTGCAATTGAATGTTAACCTGATGCTGCATCCCATTAGGGTCAAATCGGCAGATGAGTGGGGGAGTGTTGCACGGACCACAGCAAACTGCCCATTGCCTCCCGAATTCTCATGTTTTTTCCAGATACTAATTTTAAGACCTAAGCAACAATGGGAGACACCATTAGAATAATTTGTATTGCCTGTTAATGCCAAAGGCTCACAGAACCAGTCTAATGAACCACATTGCGAATAACACTGGTCTACAATTTTGAGATGTCATCTGCTTCAGAGATTAGATGTGCTGTTTATTATGGATTTTGATATGCTGAATTCAAATATGACAATTAAAACAACTGATTTACAATTTACATCTATGTATATTGTGTAGATAGAGTTTTACTCAAATTGTAAACCTTGGTCTTTTCATGCGTTTATGGTTACTTTACATGATAACATGTCACCTGTCCTGTTCATGTAACACTTAAAAAATAAGCACAATGGGTTAGAAATAAAATGTATTATGAAACAAAAGGCAAAAAACTATTATATGTATATATGTACATAGTTTAGTCCTTATTCAGTGTCTACTCGGCGCTTCTTGGTTTGTCTCTTGTATTCATTAAATGGAGCATCTCTTGCCACTGTCCAGCAATAGTCTGCAAGCATTGATGGGTGCCCATTTGCACCGATAGCGTTTCTCCATTTTTGCAATGTCGTGGTGAAATCGCTCGCCAGGCTCGTCGTTCACTGCTCCGCAGTTCGGTGGGAAAAAAAAATCTATATGAGAGTGCAAATAATGGATCTTTAGTGACATGTTGCAACTAAGGCTTTTGTATGCCTTGAGGAGGTTTGTCACCAACTCCCTGTAGTTGTTTGCCTTGTTTCCGAGAAACTGTGTTGCTACTAACTGGAAGGCGTTCCATGCCATCTTTTCCTTGCCACGCAGTTCACTGTCAAATGCATCATCTCTAAGAAGTTTACAAATTTGAGGAACAACAAAGACACCTACCTTGATTTAAGCTTCACTTAACCTTGGAAATTTTCCACGGAGGTACTTGAAAGCTGCTTGTGTTTTGTCCATGGCTTTGACAAAGTTCTTCATCAGACTCAAGGGTGGTAACAAAATCTTCCTTGATTAACAAGTGGTGGATGCTGAACACTTTTCCTCCCAGGCTCCAATGACTGTCACGAGTGGCCAATCTATCTTGATGTAGTGGGAATCTCTCGCACGACTATCACCATTCGCAGAGAAAACAGCAGTACTTTGTGTATCCAGTCTGCAGACCAAGCAAGAGAGCAACCTTCAAATCGCCACAAAGCTGCCCCTGATGTTGGTCATAGTTCATGCACCTCAAAAGTTGTTTCATGTTGTCATAGGTTTCCTTCATATGGACTGCATGGCCAACTGGAATTGATGGCAAAACATTGCCATTATGCAGCAAAACAGCTTTAAGACTCATCTTCAATGAATCAATGAACAGTCTCCACTCATCTGGATCATGAACGATGTTGAGGGCTGCCATCACATCATTGATGTTGTTTCAGGCTACAAGATCACCTTCCATGAAGAATGGAACATGATCCTTTTGACGATCACAGAACATAAAAACCCTAACATCACCTGCCAGGAGATTCCACTGCTGCAGTCTGGAGCCCAACAGCTCTGCCTTACTCTTGGGTAGTTTCAAATCCCTGACAAGGTCTTTCAGATCAGCTTGTGTTATGAGGTGCGGTTCAGAGGAGGATGGGAAAAAATCTGGGTCATGTGACCTTGATGGTTCAGGACCAGAAGTTTCAACCTCTCCCTCGTCTGACTCAAGTGAGAATGATTCTGGTGCATCAGGAACCGGCAGTCCTTCTCCGTGGGGTACTGGGCATATAGCTGAAGGAATGTTTGGATAATGCAGTCAATTTTTCTTTTTTGAAACACCTTTCCCAACTGGAGGCGCCATACAAAAGTAACAATTGCTGATATGATCTGTTGGCTCTCTCCAAATCATTGGCACCGCAAAAGGTATAGATTTCCTTTTCCTGTTCAACCACTGACAAAGATTTGTTGCACAAGTGTTGAACAGCATATGTGGGGCCCATATCTTGTCCTGATCTCCAATTTTGCAGGCAAAATAAAGGTGATAGGCTTTCTTAACCATAGTAGTTCAACTGTGTTTTTATGATGCAAAAGTCACTTCATCACAAACATAGAAGTTATCGGCTTTGTTCACACAAGTACGAGGCATCTCTGCTTACTTGGGCTAAACAGGTGTCCCTTTGAAAAATCAAACACTGACAAATAAGAGAGCACGACACT